GTCTAGTCTGGTTACTATGCATAAAGCTGCTATGAACATAGCTGAACATGTGTTCATGCGGTAGGATGGAGCATCCTTTGGGTATATGCCCAAGAGTAGAAGCCCTTAAAAAATGTTAAGCTTTGTTTTTTTCTAAGGCTTTCATTGGGCATTATGTGTAAATCATGATACTTAATTCACTACTTCATATATTTTATTGAAAACAAGACAAAAAATCCCTCAGTCTCTCTTGTGCAACCCCCCACCCCAGGGTTTCTCTGCAGATTTGGAACCTGTCTGAACCTCATTCTGTAGACAAGGCTGACCTCAAACTAACAGAGATCTGGCTGCCTCTGCCTCTTGAGTGCTGGGCTCCTGTGCAGTCTTACTAGGACACAGAAAGAAATTATAGTGATACAGGAGGTACAGGAAGTACATGAAGTGACTCCTGGAGAGCTTCAGCAGAACCAGCTCAGCCTATGTCAGAATTCAGGAGGTTGTGTAACATGTTAAGCTTTGTACCACACAAGCTCAATCTCTGGTGCAGCTTGTCTGAGATCAGCTCTATGTAATCTCCAGTCTGTGTGTACAATCTGTGACTGTGCAGGAGGCCTGCAGTAGAGCAGGATATACCTCCCACACAGAGCTGAAGAGATGGCATAAGATAAGCATCTGTCAGACAAACGAGCTTTCCTGCCCTCCATAGATAAGCGTTATTAGGGTACAGAATAAACTTACTGCCAAAGCTCTAGTAATTTGAAGCCAGGCTGAACCTAGGCTTAAATTACTCCTAATGAAAACACGCAAACTTGAGTGCCCACTTAGAAAAGGATGGACCCACGGAACTGAAGCAACAGCATTGGGGAGGGTGGTCCCACAGAGCTGAAGCTATGCCGTTGGGAAGGGTGACTATCAAGCTTCATTCTATAGCTTCCTAGTAAATAGTATTCTCTGCCAAGTAGACTGATGAGCCATAGAGAGAAAGTTAAGCATGGGCCAGATGCTTGTGACACACATGCCTTTAATCTCAGCAGAGGAAGGTGTATCAGCCCGGTCTACAAAGCAAGTTCCAGAACAACTGAGCTATAGAGTAAGACCCTATACAAAGTTTAACATACAAGTAATAATTTAATACCTTATGTTCACACAATTTATGATTTATAAAGGCCATGAATAACATTATTTGCCCACAACAGACAAGATCTACCTGTCTGTGATAGGAACAAAAGAGGGTATCATAAACAAAGAAACATTTAAAATATGTTTTGATGCGAAAATCTTGACTGATTGTGCTAATATTTTCTCTTAACAGAAAGAAGCCTATATTTTCCTTAAATTTATGTCCTCTATGGTATAGTTTAAAGCTTTGACAACATTCACTTTCTCAGGATGAAAAAGGTGGCTTGGACTTCCTTGAAAACCAGAGAAATGACTTTAAAAAGTAAAAATAAACTATAATATATATATATATATATATATGTATATATATATGAGAGAAGCCAGTAACCCTCCAAAGCTCACCTCACATGAACTTTGTACATTTCAAGTAAGGATGCTTAAGAGTTGGCTCAATGGTTAGGAGTATTGGCTGCTTTTGCTGAGAATCCAGGTCAGCTCCCAGCACTGACGTGGCAGCTCACGATTGCCTGAAACTCCAGTTTCAGGTGACCCCACAGCCTTTTCTGGCCTCTGCAGACACCAGACATGCATGCAGGTGGGGAACTCAGATGCCTGAAGGCAAGTGGGTTCATTGTCTATAACTAACTAGATAAAGCACCCTGCTCCCGTTGCTAATTCCAAAACCAATGCAGATATCAGAAGAACAAATAACCAGACAGAACTATTCAAAATAACTTTATTAGACTATTCTCTTCATTTATAAGCTTAAACGCGTCCTGAAACATACTACTTGCTGTAGCGCTGTTCAGCACCTCACTCCTTTTCCTATGGCAATGGTGAGCCACCAGATACTGTGTCTTGGAAGGGAAATTCCACTCTGTTTATGGCACTGTCATGGGAAGGGTACACCTACCTTCTGTTCCTAAAACACACAGCTGCCTGACATGGTGCACACGCCTCCTCTTCCCTTTTTAAAAACCCCGAGGTAAAGCTGATCCAGATTCAGTCATGCTTCAGTTAGCACAAACCTTGCAGCTGTTTCCTGCTACCTAGCATCCTCTGTTGTAACCTACATGGCATCATGGCCAGTCTATCTTAAAGTCATTCTTTATCATTACTCCCTTCTTCAGAAATCTAGTGTTTACCATTCATAGCACTGGTTAAAGTGGTATTTTTAGCTGCATCAAACAGTTCATTCATTTCTTCTCTATGCAAAGGGATCTCAAGCCCATCATGACGCCACCTGGCAGAACAGAACATGGTAAACCACATGATTTCACCCCTACTCGAATGACAATATATTAACACATAGCACCACCTACCTTTCAGAGAAAGGGGAGAAAGCAAGGCTTATTTTCCAGAGAAGCCCATGTGGTTAACTTATGGTAAAGTTAGGTTCAAAGTGGAAAAAAAAATTAAAAACAAAACAAAGGAAAAATTCAAGTTCCATTTGTTATTATGTAAACACTGTAACAATGTTTATAAATTACCTGGAAATGCTTTATTCAAGCCTGGCCAGCAGTATCCAAATGATTTAAATGCAGTACCAAATAATGGACAAACTGTATTATTCTTAACTACTAAGCACAAACTACAGTTAGAGAGAACAGCCCATTTTTACTAATAGAAGTAAATATTCATTGATACTTTTTCAATTAAACATCAACTAAAATGAATGTTGTTTCCCCTCAGAATTTTTTCTATGGTTAGATTGCTTCCCTTGTTTAAACAGGAAACAAACAAACAAACAAACAAAAAAAGTGACAAGGTACAACTTTCTTTTTTTTTTTTTTTATTTTTTTGCCTTCCAGTATATCAGTCTGTTATAAACAGTAGTGTGGTATGGGAAGGGCTTGCTAATGCACATATATATACTTCAGACCACGTACACAAATTCCTTCAAACCAAGATCACTCTTTGATTTCATGCTGTGATGGGGGATTCTTTCCATAAATGACAATTTTCTTACATGAGCCCAATCATCTCAGAGATACTAGGGAAATTACTTTTGATCAAAAGGGGCAAGCATCTGTACCAATTGTTACCTAATTATTAAAGGAGTCAAACCATGAGAGGCAACTAGGTTTGTGTTGTTGCCCTGGCATCAAAATGGCTTTGGTTGAAACAGTCCCTCTGTGCACGGTATGGGTGAGGATCAAGGTCCTTCATGTCTACAGGAAATGAAGGCACTATGCTGATGACACTGCCCACAGAAGACAGAGTACAAGTAAAGAGTTATTTATGGCTGTCTCATGCTTTAGTCCTCAGGTGTAAAAATTATAGAAGGGGGCTGAGGAGAGGGCCCAGAGGCTAAAGCATTTGCCATGCATGATGAAAAACCCAGGTTTGGATCCCCAGAACCCTCGTGAAAGCCAGACACAATAACCCTACCTGTTTTCACATGGGGATGAGAGACAGAGACAAGAAAATTGCCAAGAGCTAGCATGTCAGCTAGCCTGGTGTACACAGCAGGGAACCAGAGATCATGTATCAAACACAATGGAAAGCAAGAATCCACACCCAAGGCTGCTCTCTGCCTTCTACACATGCACCAGGAAACACATGTCCACACTCACACAACCAAGCACACATACATTACCCACACATATGACCTTGAAAGTAATGCAACTTATAAAAGTTATTTTGAAAATGGTGTTTGGTAATAATATTAAATTAATTTGAAGAAAGTTTTGAAGAGTACATTTTAAAATGGCCTGTTAAAACTGAATAGCTGAATTAAGTATTTTCTTAGCAAGTGATATACTGGGGCACTAATTAGTTTTGAAGGTTCTTTTGTTAGGACTATAGTTCATCATGTCATACTTAATACAACTTGTACTGTATAGTCTTTCTTCTGGTGGATTTATGTCAGCTGACACTAAGGAGAGCCTTTCTGTGACTAGTGAATTAAATTACCATTCATTACCATCTAATTTAAATTTCGTTATCTTGCCAGACTTGCCAACTGAGAGAAGGTGTCCTAACATTAATGATAATAAGGGACAATTTGGTTCAACAGATGGAATAAAAGAAGGCTATTTCCCCTCTGTTCTGCTTCTTAGGTCTTCTAGTCTTTTGAGACAGTGTATTACTCTGTAGCTTAGGCTAGCCTTGAACTCAAGGGAATCCTCCTGCCTTGGTCTCCCAAGATTACAGGTATGAACTACCATGCTGAGCTTATCAGCTACTTTTCTATTTTGCATGTTATATTAAAGTGAACTAGATTTGTTTTATTTCCTCACATTTGATTATACATTACAAAGTTGATTACAATGCTTTAAGAAAAAAACACTTTGCATTTAAAACAATACAAACTTACAATGTGCACAAAGAAAGAACACAACACATTTCATTTCCATTTATTCCAAGTCAGCAGGAAGAGCTCACTGCTAAAGTTTAGATCAACTGTAGGTTTTCATGCAAAAACTTCTTTCAGTCCCCTCTGTGAGATGAGTCTCACTGTGTAGGCACACTAGCCCAGCATTCAAAGTTCCCCTCCTTTCTCAGTCTCTGAAATGCTTGAGGTGACTGGTGTAAACCCAGTCAGTCCCCCAACTTTGATGAGGTAGGGTCTCTGAACAAACAACTCTTGTTATTTTCCCTCTTTCTTCATTTTTATTTTATTTTTTAGAAGTTCACAGTGTCATAGACGTGAAAAATAAGACTGGAAATATATATAGCTAAGACACCTAGCTTTATATACACAAAAGTTTAATAATGTTGTCACAACCCCTAGTAAAATGTAATCCTTATTTACTAATCCAGAATAAACTAACTGTACATATTAAATTTTTCAAGTATATCAAGAGCACTGGTTATAAAAAAAAAAAAAAGAGAGAGAGAGGTCCCAATATGGACAGACATCTCTTTGAAGCCCATTTATAACTTCAACACGATTAAAGTAGAGTTCTATATATTTTGTTTTAATTTTACAATATCATACATTCACTACTATTCCCAGATTTCAAATGAACCAAACATTGGATGTGGTTTATATCAGTTTAATACCCTTCTATACAGCACCAGAGGTAAAAATGGATCTGACTAACCAAATGTTCTTTATTAGTCACAGTTTATCATCACACATTTCTACTTAAAATAAACATACAGGGAAAATGAAGACAGCTTAGGCGAAAGGTTTTCGCCTTATATAAATAAAGCATTTTACCTACTTCATACTTATACCCAATTGCATACCTGGTTAACAACTACTCAGTAAACATCTGGTCTTTGAAGACTATGCAAGTCGCATGGGATTCTCTAGGTTTTCTTTGAAACTTTCAAGAAACTTGGTGGCTAGTTCGTCATCAACCACTCGGCTGTCACTTGACATTGTGACAGTTATAAGCTGGTGCTGCCGCAGCTGGGGGTTCCCCTCTTCGTCCTCAGCGAGCTTTAGCACTGGTCGGAATCTCCCAACTGCCAAAATACATGCCTGAGGAGGGTTGATCACTGCAGCGAATTCATCAATGCCAAACATCCCCAAGTTGGAAATACTAGAGGGGGGGGGGGGAAAACTGCTGAAGTTAGCAAGGTCCAAAATATATATATTTGTACTTTATTTAAAAACTGTAGTGTTCTACTGAACCTTAAAAATGCTACTTAAAGACAAAGGATATGTCTAGCAGCATACACATGAATATTACTATTTATTTTCAGTCAGTACTAACTGGATCCTAATCAGTGATATACTGCAAGGAAAAGAAATATAAGGTGTGGCTAGCGACAGAAGGAATTCAGCTGTTAGGATATACAGATGAACTGATGGTCTATGCAGAAGAGCTAAAACTCAACACAGAAACACAATTAGTAAATGAATTTATATTGCCAGGCAAAAAGTCAATATCATTATATTATATATATAAATTATATATTATATGTAAGTTATTAACATTTAACTGTGAAACCTGAAAATAGTATCATTTAGCATAATGCCACAAGAGAGATATTGAGTGTAATGAAGATCTATGACTTCTACAGAGAAAGATATAAAACAAATGAAAGAAACCAAAGCATGCAGACACACTCAATACTGGTTGAATCACCAAATTTAATGCAGAACCACAATCAAAATCTCAGCTAGGCATATGTTGTGTGTCTGTCTGAAAAGTGACAAAGGGACCCTAAAATTTGGGGAATTGTTGGAATATGAGGAGCCAGAAAAGATAATCACGGGTGTGAACTAAACTGGGCAGTTTCCTTACCAAACATATGATAGATGTGTTTTAGTGCTGAGCAACAGCCAGGCAAACAAAGAAAACACAACATAGAAGCTAAACAGGACAATCAAGTCACCTTCCCAGTGCTAGTGCTATGGGGAGAAAACTTTCAGTATACAATCCTGGGCTGATTTCATGTGTTTATGGGAAAGAAAGATCCTTGACTCCTACTTTAGACGGCATGGAACTCTAATTCCAGATGCACCGTGATCTAGCTTCACATAAAAAGAGAATGGCAGTGTCTCTCAATGACAACCCAGAAGAGCTTCACTTGGAAAGATCAGTCAGAGTTCCCACCAGAAGAAAAACATGGGCATGGAGGAATTCTTTAAAATGAAGAGGCTCTGTTTGTGGAAACATCACCAGGAGAGCCAGAGGCATGGGAGGGATCTGAGGCCACCTATACATGCATTCCACGGAGGTGGTGCATCCTCATGTGCTAAGTCCTACAGACTGGCTTTAAAAAGCAGATGCAAGACTTAACAATGATTTTATCTGATGAACTACAGGTAAGCAAATAACAGATGGATAAAAAGGTGTTCATCACTGTTCATTGGCATGCTCCTGACCACAAAAATCATCACTAACCATCTCTCTCAAGCAATGGTAAAATTTAAAGCCTAACATTAAAATGCTGTCAAGAACATAGAGCATTAGGACTCCAGGCAACGAGAACAGAAGTGCAAATCTGTATAACCAGATTGGAGAATGCTTTACAGAATCTAGCAAAGCTTATAACCCAGAAATTCTATTTTTAGGACCACACAATAAAACTATGCACCATAAGACAACGGTAAGCATGTGTATGTTGTCATATTTGCAAGAGCACCAATCTGGAAAGAACTTTAATACCTATAAGGAATAAGACTGACATGGATACACTAACACAGAGGTTACCATATACTACAGCAGTGAACAAACGACTGCTTCAAACAGCAATCACAGTGAAACTCTCATGAACACAACACCAAAAGGCTAGACAAAGATTACTGTATTTATACAAAGTATCATTTATATGTCTTTTAATTATACAAAGATTAAGCACCAAAGTGAAGCTATGCTCATTTTCACAATGACGTTACCTTTGAAAGAGGGATGGCAGGTATTACAGTACTTTTAGAATTTGCCTAGCAGGCTTTCTGACTTTTGTCATACCCCTCAGCCCTCCCCAAAAGAAAGAGAGATGACATTAGTTAGGAAGGATAAAAAGTGGCATTTGGGATATGTTCTGTAAAACTTTTTTCTTTCTTTTTTTTTTTATTTTATTTTATATTAGTGACACTTAAAATTGGTATTGGCAATGAAATTATTTAGGTGATAAAAATTAATAATAATAAATCACAATAAAGGAAATGACTATTGTTTATAAATCTACCTTGCTTAGGAAGTAACTAAAATATAAAAATTTAAGAACTGGGGCGTCATTTTATGATTGCTAAAAGCTAATAAAAAGTGTTTATTTAACAACCAATAGCTGTGATAGGAAAGCTGAACTACTTTGAGCAATACTTCCACATGTCCTGGTATTTAAAGGGTATGATACTGAGCCTGCATTTTTAAAATATCTTAAATAAATATACAAAAAATGGATGACATGGACTGAGTAAGTCTTGTTCTATTTGCTTGATGCTACTGATAATTCCAAACTTAAATCTTACCTAAAAGATCCTCCTTGGTATTCCTCAGGTAACAATTTTCCATCTCTTGCTTTCTTTGACAGAACCTGAGGGGGGAAAAAAAAAAAAAAACAGAGCACAACAACAAAATCATGTTCTAGTTAACTGTGTCACTGGAAATATTTATACAGGGTATACTCTCCTAGTTCAGAGCAAGTGTTAAATGTTTAAGCTCTTGTTTAATGCAATTACAGAAAGCTTGAGAACAGACAATCTGAGAAGTGAAAGCTCAACGAAGTTCCTTGAAAAGCTTTCGAGCTCTCAGTTTGCCATGTACCAGTGCTGTGCAATGGTTCCCTGCTTTCTACACATAACACTTATAAGCTGCCTATAAAGCTTTTTTTCTTGTACCACAAAAATATTAAAGTAAACATTCTTCTCAATCCAGTAGGTTTTGGAAAAATTATAGTATTGTACAAGCCTTGTTGATTATAAGGAAAAGCCTGCCTCTGCCTTTTGATAAAGAAATAAGCATAGGACCTAGGGTTTGCTACTATATATAAATATAACTACATATAATAATACTAACTACATATAATATATATGCAATATAGTAACTCTCTGTAAAATATATACAAATGGTGCAGTATACTCTGCACATGTGAATTTAACTGAAACTTGCCTTTAACTCCACACTGACATCTGAGGGATGACTTGGGGTCAAGAAGTAAGTAGCATAGGTTTACTTAGCCAGAGGTCCACAGACAGGTTTACAGGGATCCACAATCCCTTGAAAAATTATCAGCAAGTTTTATTAAAGAAACAAATTCATTGAACAACTAGTGCATTCCAATAAAATTGGACCCATGGCCATGGATAGGATAGTTAACATCAGATAGCAGAGAACACAGAAAGGTCAACAAATGAACATGTTGCTTTGCAACAGGGTCATGGAACACAGGACAGGGAAATGTACAAGCCATTGATGCTACAGAAGGCCTGTGATGGTAGCATTGGAACTGATACAAACACTGAGAAAAAGCCAGCCAAGTGAGGTTCCAGGAGAAGCTGTACATTGCCAGCCTGAGTCCTGGGCCAACCTGCCCAAGATCCAGACCCCCCTCAGAAAGTGGTTCCCGCCTTCCCAGGCAAAGAGTGCCAGTCTCCTCAGAGTCTAGCTGACTGAAGCCCTGATTTCGCATTGCTGCATGGCCTTTACTGTTTCTTTGTTGGATGACTGGTAATTCAGGCCTCTCTGTTCTTATCTTTCTGTCTGAGGATCTCAATCCTGAGCCACTAGATTGGTCTAACAGCTAGAACACTGTACTTGCATGGCTGCATTCCTTTTCTTTTATGTTGCCAGTCAAGTCATTGCCATATATGTGGTGTAACTTGATTCTTCAGGTATTTCCACCTGTTCATTTCTTTAATATGGATATGTTTTTGTTTATTTTTTTTAAATGTTATGATTTAGAGGAACAATGGTATCATCACTACCACCAAACAACTTAGTGGGAAGTGTAAAGCTTAGCTGTTGTTAGCACAGGCTCTACTCTAGAGCCCAGCTGATAGGGTTGAACAAGAGACTCATCATGTCACAGCACAGGGGCTTACACAAATTATTTAAATGTATTCCTTATCAGTTTCTCATATTATCTTGTCTCTGATAGGATGTCTTTAAAGAGAACTAAAGAGAACATACACACACACACACACACACACACACACACACAGACGCGCGCGCGCACACGCGCACGGCTTATAACAAAAGCTGACACACAGGTCTAGCATGGTGGACTACAATTTTTCTTCCAGCACTTGGGAGGAAGGCAGAGGCAGGTGGATCTCAATGAGTCCAAGGCCAGCCTGGTCTACAAAACAAGTTCCAAGATAGCCAGAGCTGCAGAGAGAGCACCGTTTCAAAAAAAGGGGAGAAAAACAGAATGCCAGCTGCTGTTATTACAGTCACTGTTATTACCTTTAGAATTCTAAAACAAGATTGCAAAGCACTCATTTAAGAGATAGCCATATTACTCTATATAGTCACAAAATGGTTTTGCTTATAGAATTAATATCATTCTAAATGATTTCTTTGGTTCAAACATAAAAGCATTATACTTCTGAACAAGACACGGTATAAAAACTTCACATATAAATAGTAACTGTAAAGTGCCATTCTTACAGAACCAGAACTTAACTTGCTTACCTTTCCCAGGGGGTAAGGAGTCATAATTCAACAGGAGAACACAGGCAAGTGAGTGCATTGATTACCAGAGAGCTACAGCTGAGTCCCCTTGAATGATGAGATTAGGCACAGCTTCTAGTTTAGTGCCTGGCTAAACCAGAGTGGCATGCTGACCTGGGCTGAAGCAGCTGTACCTTCAGGCAGAGCTCAGTAACCCCGAGAGGTGCTGGGATGACTTCCTCATCTCATCTCTTAAGCCAAGGTTCTTTCAAATACAAGAACTAGGGAATGCTAGCATAGCTATCTTAATGATGTGGTATTATATAGTAGTAAAAATTGTCAAAATGCTCAGAACCAACGAAGCCTATAATAGTTAAAGTTTAATGCACACAAAGATGGGGGAATCCCAGGTCTACAGATCAATAACTTCTGCCTAGTATTTTAAAAATGTTATTTCAACACTTGATCTCATTTCACCTTCACAACACTGAAGTACATATTTCTCAATAGTTCTGAAAACCATGGATGAATAAAGTTCATGACCAGTATTCCCCTTGCCCTGTAGCTTTACTTTGTGGATGGCATTTCAGTCACCCTGTGGTTAACCTACAGGCTGAAAACAGTAAATGGAAAATTCTAGATACAAATAGTAACTTTGAAGTTACATGCTGTTTTGAGTAGCACGATGAAAGAATGGAGCTATCAAAAGCACGTACTGCCTCTCTGGTCCAGTGTTTCCATGATGTATATACTACCTGCCCATAAGACACTGAACAGCTCTCTCCACCAGATCCATACTCACCACATGCTCATGTTCACCTAATTCATACTGTACTTACAAATGTTTCCAATGGGCAAGAGTAATGATGCTGGCAATTTTATTATATAATAGCATTATAACTGTTCTACTTTGGTGTTAAGCCCATCTGTGCCCTATTCATCAATTAAGCTTTACACAGGCCTGTATGTACAGGAAAAATACATGAAGATTGTTCTGGGGCATCTATGAAGAGGCCTTGGAATGCATCCTTTGTGGACAAGAAGAAACAACTTATGCTATATTCAAGAAAACCAGTCCATTAACTTTGACTTTTAAACTGGCCTAGCTAGTACAACCTTCAAATTAAGAAAAATAGTTGTATTTTAATCCATATAAGATATATGCTGCAAATCTTTTCAAAGAATAAAGAACTAAAAATGTTAGACCCACTAAATTCATCTTTAATTATGTATAATTCTAAGAAAGATTTTTTTAAAATGGCTTTATGCTTAAAAACAGCCAACTTACAATGTTGACTTTGGGCAAATGAAACTGTGAGCTCCCCAAGGAAGTCTTACCTCTGCCTTTTATATAATGTATAACTTGTTCTACCAATAAGAATAAAATATATCCTTGCTACAGAAAAAATGAAAACAATCAATCAAATGAGTATCGAAGTTTCAATGTGAACACTTCAAGACCTGTGATACCTGTGCCAAGAAATGCCCTTAGGAATTACAGGGCTCAGAAAATGAAAAGCTGTAGATTCCTTTCAGACTAACATGGTTTGATCAAGCAAGACCCCCGAAACAGTGTTCCTGGTGATCCAACATCCAAAACAGCTGGGACAAGGCAGCCTTGCAGACTACTACAATTTCTATGTCTTCTCAGAATTCCCATGGTATTACAGCATCCCCAACCATCAGGAAGCAGTTTAGAAAGAACACCCAAATTTCCAAATATAGTCTACAAATGTTTGTTTTCATTTAAATGTGGCTCGTTATAAATGGTTAGTGATCACAACCAATCTCTTCTTAAAGGTAAAAAGGGGATTATGGTATAGAAATGAATACTTTATTTTGGAATGAATTTTCATTTATCAATACAAATTTAAGGTCAGTTTTGTGATAGTATATTTCTCTTGTTTAGGTATTGTGTTTGCATAGATCATTTAAAAATGTAATGTATAATTAAGTACAGATTGTAGATAGTTACCTATAACAGTCAAAACATATAGTCAGGTTTGTTAGGTATTTATAGATATATAGAGATATATTTCAAATGGATAGACATTCTTTAAACCTTTCAAAGACCTACAGAATATGGCATTTAAAATGCTTTAAGGTTTTTCTTGACAGTGAGACATAAATGCTCCCGGCAACACCACCTGGGTAAGAAAGGAAGATGGACATTGAAGAAACTCGGAGAGGATCGGGTTGAATTTCCTGGTGTTCATCTGTCTAGGTTGTAAGTTATTTCTCCCTGAATAAACATCTATTCGGCCTATTTGTTTATCCTGATCCTTATTTACCGCAATAGAGTTTACTCCCAATATGGCAAGACTAGCCATTTGGGCAAGATACTGCTCTTGTCTGGACTGTTTGACTTTATGGTGTACTGGACATGAGGACCCACAGGAAAGTGACTGCTGAAATACGACGGACGTTGCTACAGGGTTTCTGTTTCATGGAAAAGCCAGACATTCTACAGAACACAGAGAAAAGTGACTGACAAACTGCCAACACAGGTGGGACAGTTTGAAATTTCCTGCTGAGTAGTCTGCTGGATGGATAAGGCAATTTACAGAAGAACTTTGGATGACTGTCCAGGTATCGAGATGTCTCTGTCATTTCTAGAGTTTATATATTACCCTTATATGGTCTTTGATGGATGTAAAGACAGATAGCTTTTTATGGTTATAGTTTTCCTTAGGATTAAAGGTAAGTTACATATAAGACTTTAGACTCACAAAGATAGGATGATGGAATATTTCCTTTAATTCTTGCTAAATGTTAATGGACTAAATATTGTTAACTATAGTTCTTATTTGATAACTGTTTTGTCATATGTAATTAGACTATGTTAAAGTTAAAGCCCATCTTTTTTATTTTAGACAGAAAAGAGGAGATGATAGGAGATGTCATTCTGTAAATATGTTTCTCTTATTGGTTAATGAATAAAGCCCTGTTGGCCTATAGGAAAGCAAGTTAAGTGGAACAAGGAGGATTCTGGGAGATGTAGTATTGAGGAGTCAAGATGTAGGACGTGAGAGAAGAGGTTCAGACCCTCTCTCCGGTAAGATAAGACCACATAGAAACACTTAGATAGATATAAATGGGTTAATATTTAAGACAGAGCTAGCTAACAAAAAACTCTAGTAACAGGCCAACAGCTTTATAACTAAAAAAAAAAAAAAAAAAAAAAAAAAAAAAAAGGTATTACAGTGGCTGTCAAAGTTTACCCCTATGTATCACTACTTTGTAATGTGATATGCTTTAGTGACAAAAATTTCTTCATATTGGAACTTCAAAAATTGCTTTTGAAGAGATTCAAGAAAGCTAAAGTATCTTTGCCTTGGCTTCAGTGGTCTTAATTTATAACTTTAAAATTTACCTGAAATAACATTGTTGTGCTGGCTAGTCTATGTCAACTTGTCACACAAACTATAGTTATCTGAAAAGAAGGAATCTTAATTGAGAAAAATGTCTCTATAAAACCTTGCTGTAAGGTATTTTCTTAGTAATTAATGGGAGAGGGCCCATTGTGGGTGGTGCCATTCCTGGGCTGGTGGTCTTGGGTTCTATGGAAAAGTAGGATGAAAAAGCCAGTGAAAAGCAAGCCAGTAAGCAGCACTCCTCCACGGATTCTACATCAGCTTTTATTTGCAGAATCCTTCCCTGTTTGAGTTCCTGTCCCAATTTCCTTCAATGATGAGCAGTGCAGTGCAAGTGTAAGCTAAATAAACTCTTTCCTCCCCAACTTGCTTTTTTGGTGTTTCATTGACGCAACAGAAACCCCAAGATAATCTTTAATACTGAATTTTTCATTTTTAAAAATTAAGGTTTTTCCCAGAACATGAATGAAGTTGACCTCTAATTTAGCTATATATTATTTTTAGAATTTTGAACATTAAATTTCTTTAAAATAGGCAATACCTTGATAAAAACTGAAAGCCTAAATATTTAAAAGAAACACTTGAGATCACTCCTCCTCCTCACAAAAACCACAGTGCAACCTAACCATGTCAGGAATCTCGGAAGGGGGGGTTGAAAGATGGCTCTATGACTAAGAATGTGTACTGCTCTTGTAGAGGTCTTGGATTCATTTCCAAGCACCGACATTCATAACTATCTACAGCTCCAGTTCCAGGGCATCTGGATACCTTCTTCTGGCCTAAGGGCATCTGTACTCACACATGGACATACCCTCCCTAACATACACACATTAAAAACAAAAAAGCCTCTCAGCAAATGCCAAGATGAAAGTCTAGCAAGTACACATCTGGACACATACCTTCACAGAGTCAGCAATCTCCTGTACACCCTTAGCAGCTGCATCTTTTATGATTGGTGTAATTAAACCTTTGTCAGTTGCCACAGCCACTGAAATGTCCACAGAGGGCAGCTGCTTTGGGCCTTCTCCATCCCAGCTGACATTAACCCCAGGCATTTGCTGCAAGGAAAGAAACATGCCATGAAGATTAAAGTAGTCAGAGAAATATGACTTATATTGTGCATGTGAATAGAGCTGGACAGGAGGAACTACATAAGACTTTGCTTTGGGAAAAAATGGCTTGGATTACCATTGATCACTGTTCATGTTTGGGAAGAACAAATACTTTTCAGCAGTATGACTGAGACAATTCTGATGATATACATACATGTTTTGAACTACATGACCAATATGAACTTGAGGGGGACAATGTAGCAGAATATAGTAGTGACATTCAATTATTTTCATTTGTCATGAAAACTCATCTTTTTAGCACAACTCTGTAATATATATTAACATGTCTTTAGTAAATGAGTCCTCTAAAAGAAACTTCCCAAGCATCACAAACAGGAGATAGACATTACAGATGCACGGGTATAGATTTAACATTAAGAGAACTACTCTGAAGGATGAAAACAATATACAAAATGACTAAATGCCTGGAAGGTGTGTATTAATGTTGTCAAGTATCACAGGACAAAAGCAGGGCAGAGTACAGAAATCAAAAGCTAGCTTCTCTTCTCATAGATTCTCTGCTTTCTTCAGAGTAAGGCTGGTGTCCAGGGTGCCATTTAAAGGAAAGAGCAGCTTGCCTATGCTGTTTCACTGCACATGTGCCTCTGCTAGGATGCATTTCTCACTTACATTTTACTCCTTTACACTGTAATTAGTCAGTCATCCTTAGAACTTCTCTGTACTATCCATTCACAGCAATGTCACAATGTTAAAATAGTACAACACAAAGTCCTAATCCCTCAAAAGATCCCAAATTCTTCAGATCACACAAAATACAGAAAACAAGGGGCCAGAGAGATAGCTCAGGGCTTGATTCCCAGTGTCCACATCAGGTGGCTCATGTCACTTGTAACTCCAGCTTGAAGGGATCTGAAGCCCTTCTTCAGGACTCCATGGGCATACACATGTGTACAAGCCCATATACAGAAACACACGCACACACAAAGACACACACAGGCACACAAGTAAAACCCCCAACATGGAAGACTCTTGGAATGATATTTAATTGATAACTACGTAACGAAGACCCACAGGATATGATCAAAATTCGGTTCAAAACAATAATCATAACCTTAACCCTCTTAACAAATTACTAAAATGAATTCCACACTCAAGTTTTCCAACACAGATCTAGTCAAAGGAAGAAACACATAACACAAAGTAAATGGAAACACATGTCTGCAACAACACAAGAAGGGCATTTAGAACATCTCAGACAATATCAAAACTGAGGAATCACAGCAGACACTTAAGGCTAACACGTGTGGGAAATTGCACGAGGAGGGCAACTTTCTGGGAAAATACTTCAAAAATAAAGAGAAGGGTAAAATTCAGGCAAACAGTAACTATGAAGGTAAATGAGACAGCACCAAGATCTCATCAAAATCAACTAGATTCAGTGAATTCTATAAAACTATAAAAAGAAAAGCCCCTTTAATTACCTGAAATGAGTGCAGGGAAAGTTAAAGCAAAGAGCCAGAATTCATTTCATAAAGTCCCGACATGGCTGGAGAGTGACATGACAACACAGGACAGAGCACCCGCATTTTGCATGTTCAAGGTCCTGGGTGATCCAGTACCCAAACCAAAACAGAACTCCATAAAGTCACAACTGCAGAAACCATGAAGGCTTTTGTTTATGCGGTCACTCATCATCACTGCTAAGACTTACTCTTCATTTAGTACAACAGGGGACGAATTAGCGTTTACTGAATAAATGATCTTTATTGTGCTATAATTACTTTGGGAGTCCTTTTGATTTTCAGTTTCCTGTAAAGCAAGCAAAATTAAGTAACAGGATATTTTTTAGCAATACAATTATACACATCTTAAGCCAAGAGACATTTAGAAGCCATAGTTATCTTGCTTTGGCCACTTACTTTAAGAGTAACAGCTGCTGCTTTGATGATAAAGTCATTCACCGAGACTTTAATGTCATCTGAAAGAAAAATAGGCATATGATTTCAACTTGCAGATTATGGACAAGTCTTGTGCAGAGTGATGAAAAAACACCAGATCAATATTTGCTTCATGAAACGGGTCTCATCACTTCAGCAAAATGTGCATTACACGAAGTCCTAACAGAGTAGAAGTCATGGATGCAAAACTCACTATTCTAGGGGCTGAGGGACAGCAGCAGTAACCTGCTCTTCCTATGCTCAGAACCTTGCATTCCATTTTCAGTGCAATTCTTCCCATCAGAGCTCACTTCTAAGCCTTGATTACCATTTTGTGAAGTTATTCAGAAGTCATGCACAAAAACTTGAAGAACACATTATAACTACAGTCAAATAAAAGGCTCAACTAGCACTCCACTCAAGAGCAAATAATCTCTGCATTTGTGCACAATTTTTTTTTCATTTCCAAATGTCTTTAGTCTACGCACATTTTATAATATATTGATTATACTAGAAGAGCAGTGTATGTAAATACATCAAATAATTATTATATTTATAAAAGGCACTTAAATTTCCTTTTTTACTAACTGAGTATACAACAAAAATAATTTAAGACAAGCACGTTTAAGCATTAAACAGGGGCTTAAATGGAACCTGCTTTTTAACTCAATTCCAAAGATGAAGTGATGCTGACACGGGTCCAGTGCAAATGCTGAGGGCCTCTGTAAATTCATGGTAAATCCATGTAGCTAAATTTCCTTGCAGTATACATAATACTTTAAGGGCAAAGCTGGGTCCCTCCCTTTCCATGTCACTGATCATAACTAAACATCTGACTTTTCCCTCTGCTACTGACACTGGGTATGATGGCACCTGAGAGGGTAAAGCACACCACTTTCTTCCAAAAATTTGTAGAAAGACTTAAGGTCATGAGCCAGTGAATAATATATGAAAAGAAACATGTATCCTGCTACTGCAGCATCATGGAATTCTCTGTGAACAACAAATAGCTCACTACTAATGTATAAGGAGATTTTAAACAGAGCTTAGGCAAACTGCACTGGCCCGTACACTACAAAACCATGCAGTAAGGGTCATCAGTCTTCTAGTCACATAGCCAGAAATATATAAACGTTCTGTCTGGTTTGTTTAAAGTCTCTCCTAGGAGTAGAAATCTAAGTGCATTTCTAGTATTTGGAGATACTATAAGGATAACCACAGGCTAGACATTTGGTCTGCAGAAATCCAAATATACGGTAGTCACATTGGGAACTCATTCTGTTGGCTTCACCTAGCCCTCTCGGCTGCTTCTATAGGCAACCAGTGACAACCCACAGTCCTATGGCCATAAGCCCCAGCCAGTGACACCACCTATGTCCACAGCACACACCTAGAATTCTGTCCTCACTGAACTGCAGCCCTCAGACCACCCTGCACATGACCACTTTCTTCACCTAGAACACTTGCACTTACTGGCAGTCCTCTCCTCCTACTTCTGGTGCGTTAACATGATGATAACTTCCCCCAATTCCATTTCTAACTTTCATGTTCAGACTGTATATCCAGCTTGACATAAGATGCTTCTATCTCTAAGGCTACAGGTTTCTCAGATCCAACGTGTGCAAAGATGACTTCATCAACTATTTTTATTTTCAATTCTTTACTATGGGAAATTTCAAGCACTGATGATAGTTACTAAACACATAGTTAAAAAACTGCATTTGGTAAAGTTCACCTATAAACTTATGTGAAGAGCTAGGGATAAAGGGTAATCATGAATCTCTGTGGGCTACAAACAGAACTTAACTGAAAATAACAAACAAACCCCAAGTATCAGTTAAAGTCCCTCTTAAATTCTATCAACATTAAAAAAAGAGAAACCTATTCTACAAAACACTTTCATAAAGTAAAGGAGGAAGAAACATTTTCCAACTTTTTTACAAGATCTGAAAACAATCCCTGGAAACCCAAGGAAAGAAAGCAGAAGGGCAGTATTTATTACCAGCACATGTATAGTTATATAATAAATATAATTATATATACACAGACCAGCTTGGAACTTACAGTATTCTTATCCCAGCCTCCTGAATGCCACTGACACCCAGCCAATGGAAAGATTCTTGACAAAATGTTAATAAACTCAAAGAGTACATGAAGAAGCTTTGTGTGAGGAATATTGGGTTGATTTATCAATTGAATTTCAACCAATGTAATTTGGCATCTTAACCAAAAAGGAAAGGTTCTCTTAAAAGATGACCAAAAACTTTATGACAAAAATTCAGCATCCATTCATGCTTAAAATTCTCAGAATACAGACTGGGAACTTCCTCAACCTGAAAAAGATCTATAAAAATAACTTACTGTAAATGTTAAAGAATGAATGTTTCTCCCCACCTAAAACACAAGAACATGTGAAGAATATGTTTCTATACTACTGACATTTGTCATGGTACCAAAAACCTTGGCCAGTGCAATAAGTAAATAAAAAGCAAATAGATTAGGAAGGTTGAAATAAAATCTTCATGCTAACAATCCACACCTCTCTGAAACTTTATTTTGAAATGTGTTTGGAGAGACAATTCAATTTAATATCAGAAAGTATTTTCAAAAATACAATTAAAAATTGCATAAAGAAAGGTAGTACCCACATGATGTGTAAAATGAAATGTACTAACCACCCAAGGCACTCTTAAATCAGTTAAGGGTTTTGTTAAGATTGTTGTTTGTCTACCTAACACTATTAAAAGAAATTCAAAATTAAGATAAGCATTTAGCCTGAGCAAGTCAACCATCTATCCTTACCAAAACAAAAAAAACACAAACCAACCAACCAATCAACCAACCAACCAACCAAAAACCACCAAGTTAAGGGAAACAAATATATTAAGCTTATTTTTATTTATGAAAATAACCGCCAGCCTGTAAGTGACACTATAATAGTACTGGTAGGGTGAGTGTGAACTGGAAACATCACAAAGGAGATTTTGGAAAGAAAGCATGGAAGAATAGAAATCCTTATTGTACAAAGTAATAATCTGTGATTAATTCAATATTATGCATCCAATCTGTTTCAATTAAGAAAAAAAACATTGCCTCCCCAACCTATCCCTGTGCTAACACAAGCCAGAGTAGAGTGCAGTCAGGTTATGAAATGATTAAAAGAGATACAAGGTGCATTTTATAAAAGACTTGATCGTCAGATTAGCATGCATTCTGCATTAAGTAAATTCAACTTTACTGACCTTTGACCAGATCTCGTCTAACTTTTAAAACTGCTCCAAGATCACAGTCAGCAGTAGCATAGGCATGAGGCACAGTGCTTTTTGATTCAGTTAACCTCTTGGCAATAACTCTCCGAATGTTGCTGGCAGGAATTTCAGTGAATGTACCCTACAAAGAAAAAAAAAAAAAAAAAAGCAATTTGTCCATTAAAACATAAGTAGAATGGAAGAAGAAAAAAAAAATAAATAAAACTACCTATTTGAAATCCACTCTTAGAGACCTAATAATTTATGACATAAAAGATTAATTTAAGAAAAGTACTATTTGAAATCTTTATAGAAAGGGAGACTGTAATAAATCAAAGTATCTGGCTTGTGTTTACACAACTATAGACAGAAAAAAATAGAAAAGTTTAAATTTCAGTTATGAATAAGACATCTTCTATTACCATGTTTAAGACAGCTAGAAATAAACAAACCCACCATCACCACGTACTTATGTAATATGTACCATGTGTGTACACACAAGTATATATAGGCAAGTTGAGTATGGGAACAACATATACATATGTACAATGCAAATATGTGCACATATGCACGGGTATGTTGAGTATGAGAATACAGAAAGAAATCTCTACCTATCCATCCAGTCAGTCTGAAGGCAGTTTTTGTTACAAATGCTGACTATCAGCAAGTCTTATAAAAATGGTATTCTGTAGAAAAAGGTAACACATTACATAATGGATAATCAGTCACAGAACATGCATTTCTGTCATGTAAAAATAATCAGGAGTATCTTATTTCCTAGGAATTCAAAATATAAAGTATAAATGAGATAATAAAAATCTTTCTGAAATTTTAATATAAATTTTCTTGTAACGGCATGGGCATCCAATTACATTTAATCCCTTCCTCACCCTTCATTCTATTCTAGGATGGAATTATAGCCACCAAAGGATGATAATAATAATAATAATAAACACCAATAATTTATTTTTCCTTTACAAAGGATATTTTAAGGATACTTTCTGTTAAGAATACATGCTCTCCCTTACCAGCAGGAAGTAATTTTGAAAGAACAACGCCCAAATTCCCAAATATTGTGTATAAATGTATGTTTTCATTTAATTGGACTTTGTTATATAAAATAAATTTTAAAAAATACAAAAAAATACAAAAAAAAAAAAAAAAAAAAAGAATACATGCTCTCCATATCTCCATATCCTGTGATTATTTGAAAGATTTATCTTCCTACTTTGTGTAACCTCCTACACTCACCCTAAGGAAGATCTGACACCATCAAATTTTTATGCAGACAGTACAATGTTAATGTGCATTAAAAAAGTTGTCTGTGAAACTTAGTCCTCAGTTCTTTCCAAGCATGATAATGAAAAATCTTCTCCATTAGTGGGAGCAGTATGCGTTTACTTCCCTGATTTTAAAGGGACACAGAAAAGAAAAACAGGATAAACTGAAGAAGAAAAACACAATAACTGCCACACTGCTTGTCTCCGAGGAAGAAAGTGGACTGTGTCATACGGTAAATTCTAAGTAGCTCTTCATTCCCTCAACAGAAAACAAATATGCCCATAAAAAGGAGCTAAGAGTCATGGCTACAGCATACATGTACTGTCGTGAGGGATTAGAATTTGTGGTAAAATGAAACTGAATCACAGTTCTACTTGCAAGTCAGTACCACACAAACAAATCCATTTGGGGTACTCTCTACATTTACAACTTGAAGCTACTGTTAAAATGGATTGATTAAAAAGTACTTATACAAACTAAAAAGTACTTATAAAGCACATAGTACCTGTTTTTATTTTCTTTCTCATGTGTATCTAAATCATAAAACCTTACTGAGAAGACCTTACCGCTGCGTTAGGTTGCCCAGGGATGGACATTGGTGGGATCATTGGCCTTGGGTAAGATGGTCCAGCTGTGGCCTGAGGAGGCACAGATGCAGAGAGAGTGGGGGCTGGTCTGGATTCTGTAATCTTGCCCATCTGTTTCAGTTCAACTAACTTGAGTGCATCTCTGGAAATGAGAGGAATATAGACAGTCTTAGAAAACAGTGCTGAGGTGTGAGAGGAAGATAAACACTAAAAACAAATACTACAAAATCTAAGCAAATCTTTCCTCTTGACCAGCGGTTCTCAGTCTATGGGTCTCAATCTCTTTGGGGTTGCATATCAGATATTACATTACGATTCATAGCAGTAGCAAAATTACAGTTATGAAGTAGCAATGAAATAATTTTATGGTTGGGGTCACCACAACATGAGGACTATATTAAAGGGTCGAAGTATTAGGAAGGTTGAGAACTACTGGTCTATTATGGTCTTCTGATTCTTTTTAGATATCCAGTGGATAGTCAAACATTTTCAAAAGCCAATTAATAATTTAAATTTATAATAATTAGAACTCATTGGGCATATCTGAGATAATTTTTTCCCAAATAAAGCTTCTTGCTTAGCTTAGTAAGTACCTTATTCAACATGATGAGTAGAATTCTGTGATAGGTCTACCAATATGATCCTAGAGTGTACCCCTCAGTATTGGGTAAAGACAGTAATTTTTATTAAAAAAGTAAACTTGTCTTTTATTGGGAGACAAGTGTCACTAGTTAGATGAGTTCATGTTAGAGTTTTTACATGGCATTCAGAAAGTGCCATGTACATAATACCTATGGCTTTCATAAAAATACTTGCTAGATTATTATCACTTAGAATGAAAAGTAATGATCTACTTACAGACCTGTGTTTCATACTACTTTGTAAAACAAAGGTGAATTTGTTTACAAAGAGATATAATTAAGACTATAATATATGTTTAGTCCTGAGTTTAGTTTGCTAGGTTATAGACAGCTGTCAACTTGACACAGCCTAGAGTCATCTGAGAAGAGAGTCTTAATTAAAGGATTGTCCAGGTTAGACTGGCCTGTGGGCATGTCTGTGGGGGACTATTTTGATTATTAATTGATATAAGAGAACCCAACCCACCATGGGTGGCACCAGTCCCTGTACAGGCGTTTTTGTGCAGGTGTTCTAGGAATATTTTAGATGAGAGATCAAACTGACAAAGCAATTAAAATGCTTCATCATTCTCGATTCCTAAATCTGAAAGAGTGGGGGAAGAATAGGAAGGTGAGCCAACCAGTGTTACATGTTATATAACTCACATCAGTTAGGTGGGAGAGGTATTACTCCTAACTTAGACACACGTAGCCTCAAAACAGTTAACTCAGAATCTAACTCAGTCTGTCTCAGCACCCACTCATTCCAGGTGCTGGGAGAAAATGTCATTAAACAAGACTCTTCCCACCAAGTTTTATTCTACAGAGGAGTCATCCATCAGTCACATGAACAAACTAGAGCAACGGAAAGGCATCCTTAAAAAGGAATACAGCAGAGTAATGAGACAGAGCAATGAGTGAGAAGACTGGTTATTTTAAGACAGACAGCCTGGGCAGATTGGACGTTTATGAAGAATGGTGTAGTTAGGCAGGTTAAAGGGCTGGGAGAAGGCTGTACCTAAGCAGGAAACATGTGGCTTCCAAGAAGAAGAGGTTTCTGAGAAGGAAGGCCAGAATGGAAATGTGGTGAGCAAGGTGGGGAGGAAGGCAGCTAAGTACAGCCAGGGCTGAGACCACTTGTGTATGCCCAGGTTCAGAGCCAGCAACAAAGCCTGTGTATGGTTTCTACCTTTCCAAAAACAGTGGACATGCTAAGCAAATTAAATAAAGTGAAAGCAGAGCTGTCTCCCAAGAAGAGACTAGCTAAGAATTAACCCACAATGAGCAGAATGCTAGGGCTGAACAAGGAATTGGAATGTGCCTAATCTAAAATTACCAGTAGGACCTTCTGACAAGGGCTCTTTACTCACTCTACACAAAGTCACAGAATAGCTGTTGGCAGCACTGCTTCTTACAACCTGGAGATGGTGACAGAGTGGCAGAGGAAGTGAAGGGGACAGGTGTCCAATGGAGTTATCTGTGGACCTTTAGGGTTTTGTTTTTTAACCAGCCTACTTCTACTTGGAAATCAAATTTAACCCATAGTATTTATAACCTAAATCCAAATTGTGTCAAAGTCAATGACAGCTGACACAATTCCTGGAGACTGCTGTCATGAGCCCAAATGCCAGTTAGATGAAAATGTAAGCACCGGTACAAACTAAAACCTTATAAGTTACAGTCCAACGTTATAGTCCCTTCCCATTTTATGTCAAACAATTAAATACTTATCTAGAAAAGTGCATTATCCCCAAATACCAGACACATTTTCTCACACAGATTTTTCGTTTTCTCAGTCATCAGATGAAAACAAACACAAGGACATAATAAACATCTAAGTATCTGATTCTCCAATCTAAAAACAAGGGTGGTGGTGTTAACTAGACACAGCCCAATCTCCTTGTTGGCGTGACTGCTTTATCAAGGAAGGTGTGATTTGGTTTTACACCCAAAGTAATTAAGATGACTGGGCAAAACAGTGTTTGGTGAGGAATACAAGTCAGGAGGAGCCATTAATCATAAAAAGTAAGCAGAAAATAATTCTGACCAGTGATTGGTTGCAATAAGCTTTTATTATTGATCTTACTATTATATATAGCTCATGAAGTGTAACTGTTAACTGTTGTTTAGTAACAGCCAACAATTTAGCTGTGATAATGCAGCAATGATTTTTAATAATTTCTGCCCATTAAAACAATCAGATTGAATTGGAAGCATTGACTGGGCATTAAAGACTCTAAAATAGAAGAAAACAAGTGAATTGCTTGGAAAACTATCTCAAGTAGATCCTTTCCCACCCCTCAGCGGTAGTTAACTCTGGTGAGTCATCAACTAATTTAATGACTATTGCTTAAAATTAGACAACTGCCAACATGCCAAGTTTTGATGCTGTGGTTAACATGAACAAAAACATTAAGTCTAGTTCTGATTTAATAGTTAGATGTACCCAAGGTAAAATTCTAACTGCTCATAAGCTCCTGAGTGTAGCCTGCCACTTGTCATGAAACAGTCACACAGAAAGGTTAGCTGATGACTCTATGCTTCTGCACAACATGTATCTGGAACACTGCCTTCGTTTTAAGATGAGATTAAAAGCCAGCTCTGAGCCTGTGCTTTTCTCCACAGACACAATGGCTCAGCAGTGCTGCTCAGTGGCCAGGACCACTACCATAGCACTTGCCCTGCATCCTCAACTGAGGAGGAGCAGATGGGAGATGGCACTCATCATTTCCAGGGCATGTGCTAAGGCATACTGTAAAGCCTTAAGCTTTACAACTGTTTCAGAAAAGGGCATTTCTGCTGAAGTCACTGGGACAATGCCTCTCTAAACTTCACCTTAATGTCAAACAGCATGCAAAATCAAAAACCCTATATAGTACATGCACTAGGGATCGTTTTTTTCTCATGAAATCTGTAAATGTTCATATTCAGAAGACTCAAATTGACTTCCTTCTGGTAGAGAAGGCAAAAAGGTTGGGGAAAGAACTGGGAAACAGTGGGAGAAAGAAAGCAAAAGCATTCTAAGCATAGCTCTTAATGAACACTGTTTCCTTAGAGCATCAAGAAGATAACTGTACTAACACAATTTTAAATCAATTCTTGAAAAGAGCAGAAAGTTCCCTATCTTTGTTTTACTGCTGCCTTACCATGAAGCTGCTTTCCCAGAGGGTCTGTAGTCACTAAATTCAGGAATCTTTCCTCTGACCCTGTGTTCCTTGATTTGTGGACCATTTCCCAATACTCTACCACAGAAATTTAGTCTTCTAAATGATGCAGCTGCTGATGATCTCTAAGACAACCACTGCTTCATGACCTACTCAAACTATCTCCTTTATCTTCATCATCTGATCCCTGGAAGGCTTCTCAGTGCTGACAATAAGCTTGGACATCAGTTACTCTGCTAAGGTGAACGCTTCCTCAAACCCCTTATTCAGTCTACTTATGGAGCCAAGTTTTCCATTACCTAGACCAGGATCCCAGACACAAACTAGCTGTCTCTTGCATGCCTTCCAACCACGTAAAGGGCAGTATTCATTATCTCCTGCCTGTATTACTTGATGAGACTTACCTCAATTGATTCCCTTACATCAGAGGCTTTATCTGCTGCAATTTATACTGCACAAACTTGACATGTTGATCCTTCTCAGGAATATCTATAATTATTTTGCATTTCTTAAAACCTTCAGTGGCTAATGAATTAAATGGACCCTTTATCTTATCCCTTAGATAACAGGCAAGGAAAATCTGTCTTATGATTGTTGTCTTAATTCTTTTTTTTTTTTTTTTTCCTTCTTTCTTTTCTTTTCTTTTTTTTTTTTTTTCAATTTGGGTTTTTGAGACAGGATTTCTCTGTGAAGCTTTGGAGCCTGTCCTGGAACTCAATTGGTAGACCAGGTTGGTCTGGAACTCACAGAGATCCGCTTGCCTCTGCCTCCCGAGTGCTGGGATTAAAGGCAGGCGCCACCACCTCCCAGCATCTGAGTCCATTTTTGTAGAGTTCTACTAAGGTACAGACTGGTCGGTGACTAACAAATTTATGATATAAAATAGTGAAAACAAAAAAGGCCAGAAGCACCACTTGATTTCTGTTTGTTCTACCTAAATTTATAAAAATTCTAGCCAACACCATCATTTCTAATCAATATTCGCTAATCTTAGAGTAAACACAATTCTAAAAACCTGAACTCAGTCCCAAATATTCAGCAACTGCCAACGGTGGCTCTACATGTGGTCGCAGGCCCATTTGATTAGCCTTTGTCGTAACTTTATTAGGCTAAGTCCCAGTAGAGAAAGGCTCATCTGTATTAATAGACTCTTAATTAATAGATAATTTTAAACAAAGATGCACCAATTTCTTGAGTGGAAAGTCACCCACATACAGATAGAGATTAGGTCTTCCTAAGCTAATTCAACACATCCATAAATGTTCTCCCCTCAGCCCACAGAACCCTAAGAACTTCTTTATATTCAGGAGGAGGATATACCAATACAGCTACTTTGTTGAAAAAAAAAAAAAAAAAAAAAAAAAAAAAAAAACAAGGGAAATCTGATGTGTGTGTCAGACGTTAAAGCATACTATAAATATTTATAATTAAATGGTATCAACTCACAGACAGATCAATGAAAGAGAAAAGGGAATCCCCAGAGAGAGTTAACTGCAGATGGAGACACCTCTGGAAAAAGTGAGCAGTCTTAAGAGTGAAGAATTAAATTCATTTAAAAGTATATCGCCATCCTGGGAAATTTAAATGGGATTGGTGATGATTTTATGCAGTTGAAGTATGTTTCTCTGCTCTGTGATCTAATTTTCTACACTATCACCTGTTCTAAGGATGTGGCTTAGTTACTGAATAAGACCTAATTCTTAATAATGGTACAATTATTAAGAAAACAATCCACACTAATAAAAGCAATTAAAACCACAAAAGAATAGTGTATCTCATTTTAAATTTCAACATAGAATAAACTTTTCAAATCTTTTCAGAACAAGATGGTGAAGGGATTGATGATTACAAAAGCACACACATACTCTTTAGTGAAGATCCCTCGAGGGCCTGTGGCTGTGCCCTGGCTGGCATCCAATGAATGCTTTTCCAGAATGTTGCGGGCAGCTGGACTTAAGCGGAACCTAAGAATAAAAACATGAAGATGAATGAAACTAATTAATTCTTAATATTGATTCATATAGATCTAAATGGCAAGAGTTTTGCTAGTAATGGGAAAGAGAAATCTTAACACTGAAACTAAAGTGACTCTCAAAGATGGCCACAGTCGTATAAATTAATCCATATCAATCTATTTTATTGTCAAGATACTTTTGTAAAGCAGTAAGTAGCTAGCAATTCAAATAATCTTTAAATAAGGGTAAACGTTCACTAGGAGAAAGAGCATCCAATTTGACTGATTACGTGTCGTATGTCTCTGTATCACGGATACCAAGAGGGAACCAACCACGGGCGCCTTCATACACTTAGCACAGTACAACGATAAGCTAACTTTCTACTCCAAGCACTTTTCAGTATGCAATGTAGCAGCTCTGAGTGCAAGGACGCTGCTGTGCAGGCATCATGGCCAATTTTACAGGCAAAAAGCTGAAGTAGGTCCTGGTCCTATAGCTGAAGTGTAGACTCTCTTATCAAGACCTTTAAGCGAAGTAGCCAGACAAAGGAAGTAAAATAAGCTGGGTCAGATGTCTATGTACTCAGACAAAAGAAGTAAAATAAGCTGGGTCAGATGGTTTAAAAGGAGAAAATAGAGGGGTTCAATTGTGATGCTCCCTAGAATTTTGAAGAAGTCTTATATTACCAAGTCTTTATTATTTAGATTTTTCAGGACTCTGAATAAAACTGATTGATTGCAAAGCAATTTTGAAAAGTCACAGTGCGGTCAATACTGTGTCGTTCCATGGGTCAGGTGGTTTTAACAGGTCATGGTAGGTTCTTAAGAGTGTCTAATCATGACTAGTCTTAGCTAGACAGAGCACACCCAGTGTGTGCTCTGCAATGAAGAGAGGGCTGTGAAGTACAACACAGGTGACATGGCTTCTGACTGTTACAGGTCAGAGAGGTGAAAACAGGGAGCCCGGGCATGGAAATCAGAACTACTCTGTGGTAAAGGGGACTGAAAAATCATTAGTGATTACCCAGATCCGATCATTACACACTGTTCTTTTTGCTCAAATCATCACAGTGTGCTTTGTAAGCAGTAAGGCTGGGGTTGGGACATGAACACCTCAGTTTGATCCCCAGTACCCACATCAAAGCCTAGTGTAGAGGTGCATATTGTGCACCACTGGCGTTGGTGAGGTGGGGTCAGTGTTCACAAGTACCTGTTCTATCACAAATGGTTGGGTGGGAAAAAATCTACCCATCAGGATCTCAAATGCAGAACTGTTTGAACAGGAACACATGCCAAAATGACAACTCCACCTCATATCAATTATACTCCAGAGACTAGAATTCACATTTTAGTAATCAGAATTCTGTGAATGGGAACAAACAAAATGAAGCTTGGTCTCAAGAGTGTTATTCTGTAACCTTATTCAATATTAGGCAAGCAAGGCTTTCAGAAGGCCCAAACAAAACAGGTATTCACTAATATTTATCAAATGAAGAAAGATGTAAAGTAATCATTGTTAGCCTTCATTATCCTAAGAGGAAAAAGTGCAAGGCTAGCAAATCCCAATGAGAATGCTTGGACAGGATACAGATTTCCAACCTCAAAATAATCATAACCATTTTTACATGATAATAATCATGTCTGATGGAAAATACATGCATACTCACCGTGGTGTCCCTACTGTGTGTTCCTTCCTGGCAGGGCTCGAAATCTGCAGCTGTGGAGAGGGCTGAGGAGGCACTGCTGGCTGTGAAACCGGAGGTGGAGCACCCACATCTTTGGGAATTTCCACGTGTTTCCAATCTTCTCCTTCTTCAACCATCAAGCCAATGAGTGAACCCAGCTTTATGTTTTTAGCTCCTTCTTCAACCTATTTAAAAAGATAAATAATGGTCAGAAATGGAAAGACCCAGGATCACAGAAAGTCACTAGTTGTGTTTGTGAGAAAGACTGAGCAAGACAGGGGTTCCTCTTCCAACTTCCACCTTCTGCCCCTGCACCCTCCCTCTCATTCCTCCTCCTCTTCCAGTACTAATGCTGCCTTGGGAAACGAGCAAGACCCAGGCCCATTGCTTACAACCTTCAAAACCAAGGCTCCCCTTACTACTTACTACTTCATGGAGGCTGTGGTTAGAGATGGCAGTTACTTGTCTTCACTAGTTTCTATAATAGTTTTGGAATTTTAAAAGCTCATAAGGGATTAACATATCCAAATTAGTCCTATCTACTAGAATATAATTTTAAGTAAACCTTTCCCAGTATATTTAGTCTGTGGGGAGAAAGTGTCCTATTACACAGATACAGCTAGTTAACAATTCTGGTTAATTTAAGGATAGGTTATCTCTTTCCCCATAACTTAAGTCTTTTCTGGAATATCTACTTAAAACCCAGAAAATATCTCATGAGTTTTTCATGAGTGCATCAGTGACACAGTGATGTCCTAATGAATGAAACAGTTTTCAGACAGTATCTGTCAACTAAAAATCTAAGTTACATAAAGACTTCTTTATTTAAGACAAAAATATTCTAATCATGTCAACAGCAATTAATTTATTACAAGATGACAATATTGAGTAGTTTTGGTAGTGGGAGACAATGACATTCCTTTAAGATTTCTGCCTCTTCCCTCACCAATACTAATATTCATTACAGGTTAGTTTCATGAATAGTATGATAGGCTGAAAGATGTTCACGGATGTAACAAATACCATGACTTGTGGAATGTGTGACATTTCAAAGTAACACTAATTTTGATGTCTATTAGTAAGTACATTATCCTTAAATTTAAAATAAGTATAAATTCTATGGGTTAGGAAGCTTTCCAAGCTTAGTAATTACCAGTGGAGAAATAGAAACAAAGGTTTAATGAAGGCTTTCATAGATGTGTAAGACTGGAGCAAAAAAAAAAAAAAAAAAAAAAAAATAAATAAGGAGGTATTTATAAGCTTTGGAAATATTAATTTTTTAAAATTTAGTTGCTTAGCTGTTTGTCATACACTAAAACATTTCACTTCTGTTGATTATTAATTTTCCTTATAGCACTTTTTATTTGTTAAGATTTATTTATACTAGTTTATGTGTTTGAGTGTTTTGCCTGCATATATGGCTTGCCTGGTGCCCATGGAAGTCAGAAGAGGATGTTGGATTCTGATGGGTGATGTCCTTCTGTATGCTATGAATATGTATTTCTCTTATTGGGTTAATAAAACACTGATTGGCCCATAGCCAGTCAGGAAGTATAGGTAGGACTACCAGACTAGGAGAATGCTGGAAAGAGGAAGGCAGCAAGTGAGTCGCCATATAGCCACCAGGAAGGTAGGATGCCTGGGCATTCTCCAGTAAACCAAGGCCATGCAGAGATACACAGATTAATAGAAATGGGTTAATGACTAAGAGAGAACAAGTCAATAAGAAGCCTGAGCCATCAGCTAAATAGTTTATAATTATATAATCATTAGTGTGTTTATTTGGGATTAAAGAGCTGCAGTACCAGGCAGGACAGAAACTTCGATTACAGGGTTCATTGGAATTGCAGTTATGGATGGCTCAAAGCCACCATGTGTGTGCTGGGAAATGACCTTGGGTCCTCTGCAAGCCCAACAAGTACTCTTAACTGGGGAGGCATCGCTCCCGCCCCACCTTTCCTTTTTCAAAAGATGAGTAAAAGCTGTAATGGGTTTGTATCTTTTCTTTTCCTATCTGCTGATGAACTGTTAACTGAACATCAGAAAGTAACAAATAAAAAGGACAACAAAATAAGCAGTGTTATGAAGTATACTTCCTTTCAAAACTGAACCAGATAAAAATCAATGTCTATTTATGCCACATCCCCAAAACAACCAAAATTTCTACCCCTGCCCCAAGGAACGTAACAAAACAAAAAAGCCAAGATTCAAATAAAGAATGTTTTTTGGGGGAAACTTCCACTTTGAGAATATAAGTAGATTTCTAAAAGTTGACTTGGACAATATCCTAACCCTGAAACTGGCACCTCACCTCTTGTTTCACTTACTACAAAGCACTCCACACACACCCTACCACAATGACAGGGACATGTTCAGTCAGTTAGTAGCCAACTATATCAAAATATCGAATAAAATTTACAGTACTCACGTTTTTCCTCATTTAAAGGAATGACAATATGAAACATATAATGGAAAAGGACAGACAATATGCCACTTTATAATCGACTATATAATAGAAGTTAAAGAATGGTCATAACAGTTTCACTTAATGCTGATAAAATCTTGAAATGACATTTACACATCCCCTATTCCCTTAATGCAGTAAGAAGTATTCTCCAGGCATGCCAGTTTGGTACATTTACTTCTGCTGCAGTTAGCAAACAGTTAAAGCTGGTTCAGACACAGTAACAGAAGCATAAACAATATTCTGCAAAAACCATACTAGCTTGTTGCTGTAGCAAAGCACTCAAGGTCTGAGAACAATAAGCACCCAAGATGTTCTTACTGTCTTAATCAAAAGCCTTTATTGCCCTTATGCCGATGTGTTTTAATAATAAGTCAAGTATTTTTACACTCTGTTCTACTTACAGCTGATAAATAAGATCCCGACTCTTGAGTCTGTTCAGGTCAACGGTCTTCCCTCCCATGTACATAGCTTCCTGGGTTTCAACACTGGTTCTATTACAACAGCTAGTAACAACTGGCTATGTGAGCATAGTAATGATTATTTCACCATGCCTGTTTCTTGATCTGTCAAGTGAAAACAGCAACAGGAGCCATTCCACAAGTTTCTTAGGAGGGATAAATGGAAGTTCCAGATGTAAGGGATTTAGAACAGTGCCTATCATTTCACATAAACAGCAAAAGTATAATTTCTGTTTACCTTCAAGTTATTAATTTTTAAAACAAATATACCCAACAAGGATCAATATTAGACTACAAAGTAGTAGTAAGGATTGGAAAATCATGCCTAATAGGTCAGCCCATACTCAGGAATATAATAAGAAATAAACTGCCTCCTGATAAAATTCAAATAGAGGTTGAATTGCATCCCCCAGCCTTGGCTAGCTCAGTACAGGCTTCTCTCTCTCTCTCTCTCTCTCTCTCTCTCTCTCTCTCTCTCTCTCTCTCTCTCTCTCTCTTTTGCTCTCTCTCCCTCCCTCCCCTCTCAACCAGAGATACTACTTAAGCTGATACTAAATATGGCAAATGTACTAAATCCAGCTCAGGTAGGCTTCTAACAGAATCAAAGGACAGGATGCTGAGATTAAGAAATAAAGTGTGTACAAAGGATGCCCAGCTGAAAGAGTACTTCAGAGTCCACTTCATCGAAGCCACTAGGTAAAGGCAAGTGTGGTGGCACACCTGTAACCCAGCATTCTAGATATTCAGCTACACAAAGAGTCAGAGGGCAACCTGAGCTACTTAGGACCTTCTGTCACTTACAAAAAACAAGTACAACAAAAGCTAATGATAAATGCTATCTTTTTAATTTTGGCATTACAAAATGACCAGCACACCAAGTAATTAAGTATTTTTATTCTTTTGAAACTGAACTGACTATTGAAGTTCAAACAGCAGTTACAGCAGAGGAGTTGAGTCACATAATGGATATATTGGCTCAGGGTCTGTGCAGTTTGAAATAGCTCTTACCCTTTAGTATTACCTTCTTAGTTTATATACACATAAACCCCAGCTTAAAAGGACATAATATAAGAAGTACGAAGAGGAAAGCACATCAATGACAGCTAAAATGTAGATGAGACACTGAATCCAAGTAATAGCTACCTGCCTCCCCAGTGCCAGGCAGGGTTCTATTGATGCATTCAATGCACCTGAGAACCCAGGAGGTAAATCAGTTAAACAGACAGGAGCCTGAAGCCCAAGGTTACAACCTGCTCAGGATGCCACAGCTAGGATTTAAATGAACTGACCATAATAGACAGGATGACTTTAGATCAGCACCATGCCCACACTTCCTGTCATCTCAAGTTGGTGCCAGCATCTATATAGTGGACATAAATGACTTAGTTTTTAACTAACAAAGGACATCCTCAAAATGTATCACTAACCAATTTCAATATGAAAAAGATTAGAACTGAGAATGTCCTCCATTTGGCAGAATTTTCTCTGAGCTTTCAGAGGGCACTTTCATAATTACAAATATCATGATTTACAGGGATTAATCCAAGGTTACACAGGTTCAAATTCTAAGTATAAGCCTTCAGACTCTAATATGCATTTATGAAAGTAACTGTGGGCAATTTAATGAAAACAGGAAAGGGTAAAATAACAAAGTTGAACTGAAAAATACAGTCCTAGGAAAATGGCAATGTCAAGGCTTTAGAGAAACAGCTGACACTGTAGAACACAAACAGTGTGGAGAATAACTGTTCAGTTCTTTTTAATATCCAGATGACCAAGTCTTTTCTTAATTGCTTTACAGTTCATGCAACTTTGTTTTAAGATGGTGTTTCTATATATATAGCCCACCTGCCCTGGCTTCTAACAAGCTATGCAGGGAACTATGACCTTGGATGTCTGATCCTCCTGTCTTTGCCTCCCAAGTGCTAGGAGTACAACCATGCACCATCACAACTGATGGTAGTGTTGCTTCCCCATGACTACACAGTATTTAATATACATACATGCATTCTTAAATAAAGACTTACTGTTATGGAAAACTATCAGTGGAATCAGTGAGATGGCTGAGTAGAGACACAACCAAGCTTGGATTTCCAGAGCCCACATGGCAAATGGAGACACCCAGCTTACACAAGCTATCCCTTGACTGCCACGTGAGCATCACAGCAAGTGCTCATGTATGTACACTCACAAGTACACATACAGAATATAAATTTTTAATTTTAAAATATTAGAAAGTGTAGTTACATATTTGGATTATATGCATATACGCAATGTTTGCCATTGGAAACTAAATATTGTGGAAGCAGGGTCAGAGAACTTCTAATAAATCCTCTTAATATGCCATTCTAATCCCAATCTGCTGAATCTAACCTGAAGACTAAGCTGACAAATTGATTTACATGTATAATAATTAAAATTTTCTGCACAACTTACTATGATTCAAAGGAAATTTAAAAGTCCTTGTACTAAATGAAATAAATTGGAACTAGGCCACAAAGTTATTCACACAACACTATTTATTCTTAATTAACATATTAGGAACATTTAAGCTTCTTCTGGTTCTAATTAAAATGTAATAAACATTTACATTTCAATGTAATTTAGATACAAAAACTATAACACTGCTTACAAAGATAAAATTGTGTGACAGAAATTTCCCAGCGACCAAGGAATTACATTTCCAAGAGTGAACAAGTTATACTTTGTAATCTTGCCAAAATTGTGACTTCCAACTACACTCTTCTGCTTTAATGATAATAGTTGCAGGATGTATTTATTAGTACCTCTACCTTTAATAAGCTCAACCATCTCCTAGAAAATCATTTTATTATGTTTACTAACACGAGGATTATTCCACAATGAAAAGCAAAGGCACAGCTCTTGCTTGAACAGAGAAGGATGGAAGGAAAATAAGACTGGAAATACCACCTTAGTGACTTCTGCTCCCATTTGCCTGGTAAAACTGTACACTGGCAGCAATATACTTTTACTATTCCTATTACTCAGAAAGCATTAGGATGCTACTAAAGTCACAAAGACCTAAAATCTATGTACAATCCTGCCTCTGGTGGGAAAAATAGCAGTCACTAAAGCAGCTGCCAACTGTATCTATTTCCCACCTCTTTTCAGGGCATTAGGACTAGAAAAACAGACACTACTGACCCATTGGAATGGCTAGCAATTTGAAATGCATTACTGAGCAGTTAAATGGAAAGTGCTATTATCGTGGAAAACTTACACAGCCAAACAATCAAGAGCTGCAGCCAAGAACAGACTGCCAAAAGCACACACTGGAAAATGTAGTTGAGTTTGAGGCATATGGTAAATCAAGCAATCTTTTTCTTCTGCAAAACGCCATAAAATTATTAAGCAAATTACTTTCAGTATGGATTTTTTCCAGTTAAAAAGACAGAAAAATATTTACCCTTTAATTCACATTTTAAAGTGCATTAACTGTATGTTTATCAGTGTGCTTTAACTGGGACACTAATAACATACATGGCAAGAAATGAATGTTGGAAATACTACAGTGTTAAGAAATAAAACATCAAAGGCTAGGAAAAATAAGCACCAACAAGATCATTTTATAGTAGGAAACACAAATGACAGAAAGAAGGTCTATTTCACACAGGAGTATAGAATCCTAAAGTACTGTGTATGCGAACAGAACAGACAAAGGCCAGGTTATACCTAAGCTTCACCTAGAGATGAGCTAGGGTCTCAGACCCAAACTCCCATCAACAAAGAATGGCCAACAGAGAGGCAGCTGGCTTGTGCAATTCAAGTGGTAGAGGGTAAAATAGATGCTCATTGCCAGTCATAATCAACCAATACGACATGGGGCTAAGAGTTACCAAGAACCAAGTAAACAGTAGCATGGACAGATGCAGCAGTACTACTGGAATTCTGTAGTGAACATTTATGTATGTTCTCACTTAATCTTCCCCACTTCCATTTTCTAAGAGAAAGACTCCAACAAAATGAATTTGCTACTCATTATACGTCATGTAGAACTGGCAGCATCTTTCAGTTACTGTCAACTGGCAGTGATTGTGATGCCCACAGTTTCAGCTGCTATACCAATACCATACTGTCTGCTGTAGGGACATGGTAATGGGCTCAACAATGAGCACATGGCACAGCTCAAAAGCCATGCTTTACCCACACACAGCTTTGAGCTGGTTATCTGCCTTTTTATAAATGATCTAAAGTTCTATCCTAAAACCATCATATACATGACAAACATATATATGTGAAAAAGGCCACTAAAATTTGCCACTAAAACATTGTAAATGTGATTTTAAAATATATTATACAGTAAATAACATGATAAACAGGAGGGACTTTATGCAGGGAATTTACATGAAGAAAGACAAATCACGTCTTACCACTATTTTGGCTAAGATGCCATCGTCATTTGCATCTAAGGTGACCACAGCCTTGTCTGTCTCAATTTCACATAATGAGTCTCCAGCACTCACAGCTTCACCTAAAAAACAAAACCAGGTTTGTTTTGTTGTTTCGCTTTTTGAAAAAAAAAATTTTTTAAATTACATTTTATTTATACATGCATGCAAACCATGGCTCATGTGGATGTCTTGTGTCTTCTAAAAGCTCTATGCTAGGTATATTTGCTATAATAAAAATGATTACAAATATAGACTGAATATAAAAATTAATTCCTACTAATAGAGATAATAACAAATGCATTTCTTCTCTGGGATCAAGATTCCATGTCTCTTTATTTTTTCTTTTTGAAATGAAGCTTTATGTTGTCTATGCTAAGTGTGAGTAGACGAGGATAGTCTTGATTCCTGATCTTTCTTCCTCTCAGGTGCCCTTCCCTTTTTTAAAAGCATAATTGACTACTGCATTAAGAGAGAAGTTTTATCAATACAATACTTTTTGGTTAACACTTTAGGGCAAATTCAGAAACCCTAATAGCTCTACATAGTACAAGAAAACAAAACATAAAAAGCATAAACAGAAAATAAAATACATTTCTATGCAACAGAAAAGTGATGAAACTCAAAATATAGCCAGGAGCCAACACTGCAGGTTTCTGGGCTGAGGAGCATGGAAAGAGATGCTGTGGGGCTGCAGAATGAGCAAGCAAGGCTTGTTGACAGACTATGACTTTCATCAGGAGCTGAAGGATACGAAATGGGAGGACTGAAACATATCTCAACAACATGAGCTATGGCAAGCTACCCCTGAAGACAAAACATGAACAAAACCCAGGCAGGAGGGACGAGATGGAAACAACAAAAAACTGCCCATTCAAAAGCAAATCACAAAACAAGGTTCTCAAGCACATTAAGAAATCTAATGTAATGAAAACATGATACACAGTAATTGGAACAGAAACCAAATTTTAGAAAAGATACTAGAGCAAAAATTTTCAAATAAATATTTTGAGGTAAAAATAGCCATTACAAATACCAGGGATTTAAAAAAAATTGCAGAAATGAAACAAAACAGTGTCAAGAAAAAAGTTAAAAATTGTGAAAAGAACTCAAGCCACTGAACTAAGGTCCCACTGAGACACAGCAGAAGCATGGTGATGAAAGAAGCACTAGCGGCACTAATAAGGCAAACAGAAAATTAAAGAAGGAGTAAGCAGGTGAGGGACAGTCTGGGGCTGATGTCTTTCTCAGGAGTTTCAGGGAGAGTGGCTAGAGAACCATTGGGAAGCAGGTGGGAAGAGGCCGCTTCTGAGATGTTCCCAGTACTAGACCAGTGAGTGTAGGGTAAAGAATTCTGAATGGCTGCACTGATTAGAACGGGTACATAAAGGAGTCGTGTGGCATGGAGGGAGGCTCCAAATAAGGGAATATGTATACATAAAAATTAAATAAGTTTCAATTTTATAAATGCTTTACTTTGATGAAATATTCAGCAGGAAACAAAAGTATATTAGACTGTATAAACAGGAATCCACATTTGGGTACATAAAGGAGTCCTGTGGCATGGAGGGAGGCTCCAAATAAGGGAATATGTATACATAAAAATTAAATAAGTTTCAATTTTATAAATGCTTTACTTTGATGAAATATTCAGCAGGAAACAAAAGTATATTAGACTGTATAAACAGGAATCCACATTTGATAACCAGAGAGACTGCACACTATGAACAATAGAAGAAAAAAAAATTTAAAAAGCTATCAGAGGAAAAAAACAGATTACCTCAGTGGAATGACAGACTGAGAGCACACTTCAGCAGTTGCACGATCAGAGGACAAGGAAGTAACATTCACACCGAAGGAAAAAAATCTTCTACAATCGTAGATGCAGCCAAACCATAAATTAAGAATTAACTGTGAAGTATTTTTAGGGACATGCAGTGTAGGAAAATTTACTAGTAGTGATTACTTACAAAATGTAGTTCAAGAAAAGCAGACACAAACAGGGCAGATGGACAGGACGGATGGACACAAGAAACAAGTTACCACTGAAGACGCTAATACTCATTGTCCATTTAAAAATGTAGCACTTGAGGATTTTAAAAAGTAAAACCAAACTCCAAGAGATAACAGGATAGATAAGGGGAAGTTTCAGTGGGCACTAATTGCTGGTACAGTTAGAAGATAAACAACTCTAGATCCAACTGGCAAAATTTAAGGGTTTAAAATCTAAATACAATCTACAGGGTTCAAAACTCAGGAAAAACAGAAAACAAAATGATTGTCTAATAGAAAGGGGGCATATAAGGAAAAGTAAAATGAGAATAAAACAAGAAATATCTGGCCAACAAATATTTATTGAAAAACGTGTTTATCCACTGAGGATGCTGTAGTGGGAAACAAGAGCAAGTTTGTGTTTTTGAGCTTCTCACCCCAAGAAGCTCGCTGTGCACCTAGCAAAAACACAACCGGAGATGGCAGTAGGGTAAGAAGTCAGAATGCCCCGAGAATATTCAGGAGGGTATCTAATTCAGTTTCTAGAAGGGATGAGAAGCTCTCTAGAATAAGAGGACGTCTCCTCGAGTGGACAAGTGCAAAGGGCAGTGATGTTCTACTTCCAGTGAGACTTTACCCCAATGTTTCTGTTGGAGCAATGGGAGAAGTTACTAGACTAAGCAACTTTTCAAATACTTCTTAGATGCAGACAATAAATAAAATAATGTACTATTTTTCACACTCATTTAAATTCCAACAACCTTTAAAGAATCGTGTACAAATCTACTTTGGCATGTGAGTTTCTGAGTCACTCACTGACTCACCTCTGCTTTTCTGATCCTTTACTAACTTGAAGAGAATCACAAGCTACCCCAGAAAATGCTTCACTGCAGCCGCTGATACTTTCTCCTAGTCACCAGTCACAAGGTTCTTCATGACCCACCATTCCCCAAGTCTCAAGCAGTACTCCCCCACTTAACCAGATCAAAATCCTTTAGGAAAAAAACTGCAGTACTTCAGAAATCATTGGTTCCTCATAAGGAAACCATTAAATTGTTCTTTACATTTACTTGGGTATAACATCTGATTTGCAGCAAGTTTCTTTTCTTTCTTTGTGAAGCCACATCTCTATACACATAGCAGATTAGGTCAGCAATACGAGCATGCTGAGAAAGCCAAGAGAGCATGTGACCAACAGAGCAAGACACAGGAAAGCCAGGCAGTTGTAGAACCGCAGAAGAGTTTAAAATAATTACCACACGAGGAAGCACTGTCCATAATGATCATGAGACTAAAGCTCTAGCAACAATCACTTTGAGCGCATGCAGGACATTTGAGACTGAGTCATGAGTCCCAAAGATCCAAATCCAGGGCTCTAGTACCATTCAGCATTGAGCTGCTTGGCAGAGTGATGAGGAGGAGCTTTTGCCAACCCTGCTCAAAGTTTCTTCCAACCCCAGGCGCTAATGGTACCCACCAAGTTACACATCTCTCCAACTCAGGAGGATTCTGAATGTAGCTATGAAAAGCAAAATCACAGACCTGGGAGTTTTATGGTAACAAACTCCCATACACCTTTAAATAACATATGCAACATCTCCTGCTAAAAATAAAGATACAGATATATTGCTAGCTAATAAGTCACTAATAGAGAAGTAGCCTCCCTCATTCCATAGTCTGTCATTTAGACACATCATTCAGCAAACATTCATGTACAATGTACATACAAGAATGGAAGGCACTAAGAAAGCACTGGCTACAACAAAGGGTTCAGTTCTGCCCAGCAGTTTATGCTCTAGTGGATCACTGGTTCCACTGGCTGAGGTTCACTGGTGGGTTCTCAGCACCATATGGTTGGCTGTAGAAGATAGCAGCTCTTCTGCTTCCTGTACCATCTCCTCCTGGTCCATGTCAGTGTTGGAGGTGGAGCGGGCCCGGAGCGAGAGTGCGGACCCCAGGAGGGGCCAGAGCAGAGGCCTGCCCGGGAGCCGCTCCCCGGCACCGAAGCCAGCATCATCATCCAGGTCCTTTGTCCAGATCAGCAGCTGACAGGATTGAGGAAGAGGTCCACAGAGATAACCCTCTCTCTTAAACATGTCTCAAATACATTTAACTATGATGTTTATTTTATATACAAGCACAATCCCCTACCACCTACAAAACAATTTTGTTCTACCAAAAATGAAGACTAGACATGTTCGAAGATGTGTGTGGAGGACAGCCAGCTGTTTTCTGTAGAGCCAGTAAGTTAGATTTCTATGACGATGAAGGAGAATGTGTTCTTTAGTGATACAGTGAGTAATGGAGACCACCAGTGTGATAAAAGGAGCCAATCAAAAAAGCCCATTTTTCTCCTATGTTCTACAAGAAATGTCGAGAAAGGCAAAAGTTTAATGACAGGACAGGCTGGCAAGAGCTGGTGAGGAAGTGGTTGCATCAGACAGCAGGTATGTGGGAAAATCGACTGTTGTTATGGGAGTGTAAACTACCTCCTTGATAAACTGTCAAGGCAGTGCTGCTATACTGAACAACAGTCACTGTAATTTACTTCCCAAACTTTTCCACTTTAGCACTGCAAACAGAAGCCACGGCCTCTGCTACACTACAAACCATCCTGACAACTCTGGTGGCACCTACTCGGAGAATGAAGATTCCCTTCACACAGAGTCCTTCAGAACCCACCCCTGCTTCAGAATTTTACACAGTAGCATGACCAGTTCCAGATGTCAGTCACATGAGGAAAGGAAGGGCATGAGCATGGATCCTGAAGAAACACATCCCCCACTTTGCCTGAGCAGACCAGCTGCTCCCAATCTTTGCACCATTATCTCAGATTGGTTTTCTTCCACAGAACTGCATCTCAGAGCAGAAAACAGACTTTTACACCAAATGGGAACCAAGAATCTTATATATACTTAATTTTTTGACAGAAGAAAAATAAACTATGCTCACTTTATACACACACACACAAAACAAAAAAACAAACAAACAAAAAACATTAAAACATATTCCCCAAATAGGGAATTTTCACTCCAGCTCAACTCCTCTTTCAATAGACTAGAAACGTGGATACATTTTCAAAGCACCAACT